CATTGTAACGACCAATAGAAGATAAAACAAAATTACACCACCAACCTCACAACACACAAAAGATCCCAAATATCAATAGACGTATTTAGAAGGTAAAAATACCGCTCAAAGTTAAGATTTTCCTATGGTACTTACGTCGGGGAGTAATACTAACCAAGGATAACCTAGCCAAGCGAAACTGGAAAGGTAGTAAAAAATGTTGCTTTTGTCACAAGGAAGAGACCATTCAACATTTGTTCTTTCAATGTAGTGTTTCTCGCTTGGTATGGTATGTTGTTCATATGGCTTCGAACATACAACCTCCTCAAAATATTACTCACTTGTTTGGGCATTGGGTTACTTGTGTTCCTAAAGACATGAGAAATCTGCTTTTGATGTGTGCAACGTCTCTTTGTTGGTCCATATGGCTAAGCAGAAACGGGGTAATTTTTTATAACAAAGTGTTGTCTTCTCCTTTGCAGGTTACTACTTTAGTCACCCGGTGGCTACGCACCTGGGCCATCCTCCACAAACCGGGACTTCGGGATACTATTGCGGTGGTATTGCAACAGTTGGACTAGGTGGTACAAGAATTTTTTACCCAGGAGCATGGGTGGCGATCTAGTCTATGGATTGATAGCCACTAGTTTTTGTGTTTTGTGATGGGGAAGTCTTCTTAGATCCAGTGTTTTGGCTGTGTGCATTCTATGCAGAGGCCCCGGGTGGACTCAGTTGGAATGTATCATCTTGATGTATTTAACTGAGTCTTAATAAAGCTTCCATTATCTAAAAAATAAAAGGCAAGGAAGCCATAAAAGTAATCCTGACTTAGTGTTACTACATTTTGCATATTACAAAGATGGTGATAACCATATGTTATAGATTTCAAAGCTTAAAAATCATTGATAATAATATTTATAGTTATCTCACCAATTACACTGTTAACGTTGTCCTGCCACAGTGCCACTAAAATAGCACAAAAGCAATCAAATAATGATGGTTAGTATCATGATCATTCCGATCTTTTTTCAAGACAACTTGCATCGTTAGAAGGTGAAGAAAACAAATGAGGAAGTGGCTCAGGTTCCTAGCAACACATTCAAGGCCAGCCTCAAAAGAAAATTAAGTTCCCAGATAAGAAAATGTTAATATAAAATTCTAAACAGATCCAAGATTACAAGTCTAAATGCAGTTCCTGTTTATTCATATTCATATAATTCAGTTACTATTTACTAAAAATTGACATGGAAATAGATTGTTGCTGGAGTTGTTGTTGTTGTTTTTTTTTTTTTTTGTCCTGGAGAATACTAGACAGGACAGGACTACCACTCCCAAGGGCAGTTAAGTTAGTGAAGTTCATAGTGTGTAGCTATAGGCACTAACTTACAAGGGTGAACAGTGATTTGGGATATTTTGAGGGATGGGTGCTCCGAAGCAATAAACAGATAGACAATACCACAAATACAAATATATCCCTGATGGAATTCTGCAGTCACAGAGTTCATGATCTGATAGTAGTTAAACTTGTGCACAAAGAAAGCCAGTGATCTCAATAAGGATAGTAACGCAGTAGCATACCTTTGCCTTCTCATTGTCAGTAGGTGTATCTGAGGTAGATTCCGCCTCCTTCTTGTAATCTACCTCATAATCCTTTTTTGACAGCAGAGGTGATCTCAATAAGGATAGTAACGCAGCACCCCCTCCTTCATCTCCAGTAATTATTGGTGACCTTTGAAAGGAATAGGGTTATTACTGATTAGTGATAGCATATTCTAGCACTAGGAATTTGGGTAAGAACCAGCAGATAACATAATAGATGTTCACTTCGAAAGGACGACACAAAGATCTTCCCCAGGTGGGATGTGAACTATGTGGCTGTTGCCACCAACTGCAGCAACAAGAGCTTCTAGTTTTCAGATTCACCAAATTCAACAACATCAAGAGAAACATTATTCTTCTTCAGAACTGTTCCGATGTCCCCTAACCTTTCATCTTTTACAGGGCTGCAAGGGACAATGTAGCATAATTTCAGCTCAGATAAAAATTTCAAATTGTTATTGCTCCTTCCAGTCACAAATCCACAGCATCCAATTCACATCAGCATAGAATTGTGACAGGAGAAGTTTGGAACAGAATCTATCATGCAACTTTTTTTGCAACTAGGAAGGTGGCTCGCGCGTATGCGCGGGCACTTATATTATTAAAAGGTAAGATTATTGTTTGTTCAGAAATTTTGTCTCATAGATTAAGGGCAAACTAAAGTTTGGATAATGTTATTTTATAATAATTTAAGGGTTCTATTTTTCTTAACGTATCTTAAAAAACCATTCACAAACTTAAGTAGGAGATGGATTAAGTACTTACGATTTTTGAATCATGTTTCTTTTTTCTCGAGTAAATAAAAAACTATTGCTAGTTAATTATCATATAATCCATCTATACGCATACCGTGTAGTACGACCGCAAATGAAAAATACGAGTGCAAGATACTCAAAATTCTTTTGATTAAATCGTCTCATGAAGGCGCATGATATAGTAATAAAGAGAGGGAAGCATATGCATGGGAAAAAAAGGAAGAAGGAGAAAAAATGAAAAAGGGAGGGGAAGCGTACGTACCCATGCACGTAGGTGCGTACCTATGCCGCGGGAGGAGAGATGGGACCTCGTACTATTTAGTTTGTTCTAAGATCAATTTAATCTAACGGTTTGTAATATTGGACCTACCGATTTAAGTGAAAATCAAGAAATAGATACTTTGTTTTTTTCTTAGAATTTCTAATATTTTCCCTAATTTATTAGAGCACCACGTCGCAGCTTGAGAGCATTTTAAGAAATTTTAAATGACTTAACACATGTAATTAGAATATTAACTGTGCAATATATATGTATGGGACATATGGTAATATTTGTTCCAGCTTCGTCCATGATTATATACATGTAGAGTGAAATTAATTTTGTGGCTTGCAAGCCATTAGATGTCTAATTAATAGCAATTAATTTTGACACCTATTTACAATTGTTCAGAGTAACTCTTACATATTCATCTTACGACTTTAATAATTTATCACCATGACTCGCATGAAAAAAAATATGTAGTACTTAAGGTTTAGGATAGCTGAAATTGATGAATTATATAATTTATGTGATAGTTTTTTTGAAATTGATGAATTATATAATTTATGTGATATTTTTTTTGAGGGTATAAATGAATGAATTGACTTCTAAAAAGTTAGAATGTTGTTAATTTAAAGAAGGCACTATTTAGAAACTTAGAAAGCATGCAAACAAAATTCCAAAATATGGAATCGGGAAAAAAAGAGAGGGCCTTAAACTCCCTTTATCACCCTTGTCGTAGTAAGAGTTCTATTAATATTCGTCAATATTGCGCTCATATTTATAACATAATGATTCCTTTCACCTATACGAACAAATAGTACAAAATCCAAATACGACATAACACAGATACATTATAATTATTATGTAATCAACTCTCGGTTTCAATTTAAATAGAGCTAATTAGTGTTGAGAAAAACACAATCCATGGTACTTAATTATTCTCTCACTGCATCACACATTTAATTTTCTTTTCATGTTATAACAAAATTAATCATCTCCATATATGATTTGATTTGTGGCAAGGTGGAAGCTTTACAGCGGTTGTGATCACCTTATATGTCTCAGACACTACACTTTGTCACACATGGGAAAGGCAAAGGTGCAGACGTGTATTGTGCAGCGGGCAAAAAGAGAATTTCGGACACTTTATTTATTAGCAAACAATAGATCCGATGATTATAATAATAAGTCCACCAGTTCTAGTGTAAGTTAAATTAGTTAATATAGATTTTAAATTGTTAATTTAATGGGTACACAATATAATGGTGTAGACCTTATTTTGAAACAGTGAATAATAGACCAAGGTAATGAAAAGTAGATCTGATGATTTATGTAATGGGGCCATCAGTTTATGTGCATGTATAAATTAATTAATATAGATATTGTTTATTTAATAGGTACATATCAATATAATTGTGTAAAATTTATTTTAAAATAGTGCATTATTTGAAAGGAAGATTCTTTGTTATATGATGGTAGATTCTTTGTTTTGTAAAATTATGATTATTTAAAAAATATATCCATTATATATATATAAATGTAAAAAGGAAAAAAAGGAAAAGAAAGGAAGCATACATACATGTACGTACGTATATACTCCACCTGCCACCTACCAACGCGCGGGAGGAGGATAGGTGGGACCCATGATATTTAGTTTGTTTTAAGATCGATATATCTAATGGTGTATAATATTGGACTCACCAATTTAAGTGAAAATCAAGGGGTAGATGTTTTGTTTTTTTCTTAGAATTTCTAGGATTTTCTCTATTTTATTAGAGCATCACTTGGCGGCTTGAGTGCGTTTAATAGGTACAGAATATAAATGTGTAAAATTTATTTTAAAATAGTGCAATATTTGAAAGGAAGTTTCTTTGTTATATGACGGTAGATTCTTTGTTTTGTAAAATTATGATTGTTTAAAAAAATATCCAGGGTGCGTAATAACTAAAATGCTCCCCTCACATGCCCCCCTACCCACCCCCCACCCCCACCCCACCCCCACTCCCACCCAGAAAAACCACCTTTCTCTCTCCTCCCCCACCCCCAACCGCCCCACACCCGCACCTTTTTGATGCCACGTTCTTTTTTTTTCGCGACCATCTTTTAGTAAGTAAATTACTTATAGTAGTAAAAGAGCCTATCAACCTATGAGTAAACGAGTTACTAACACTCCCGCACACCCAATTAATTTATGTTGTTTTCCTTCTAACGTGGAACCATAAGTAAAAGAATTACTAGGAGATTACGTCCGCGCCCAATATTGTTTTCGTCAATAAGTTATTGGTTTTTTTCACACTAGAGCCTCACTAAGTAAATCAATTACTCGTGAACATAATGTTAGATTAATTCGTTATTGTTGAGTAATAATTTTACTATCTAGTTAAATATAGTTAAATAGACTCAAGTATTTTTCACGGACACTTATTAGCACATGGTAAATGTTTTACAATAAACCTACACGATATGAATACAATGAGAAATATGAGAATAGTAACTTTTTTACAATAAGCCTACACGGCATGAAACAATCATATGGTGTGAGTAAACATTTTACTCCATGACAATATAACATAGATCTAGACACCGGCCGGTGGTTGGTGGCGGAGATGGCTGGCGCTGGCTGGACATTGACGGAGTCGCGTCATGGAGGTGGCCGTTGCTGCTCCTCCATGGCACTAGCTAGCAACCGGATCTGAAAATGTACTTGGTTGTATTCACATGAGCATAATGTACTCTGCTATACCTGAAAATGAGAAAGCAAAAATTAAATCCGGACTATAATGTTCTTGGGCTCGCCTTACTCCCAGCCTACAATTGAACATTGTGCAACTCAGCAGAATGAGAAAGCAAATACCAAATCCAGAAATAAATCTATTTGGTCAAGATGATCGGAATAAATCATTCAGCTGCAAGGTTCATTTTCTAGATTTTCTAGTTCAACTGAGCCGAATGAATCATTCCACTACACTATATTACAGATGGGCAGATGGCACAGTTCTAGAAGGGTTAAAACTAGAGGGTGAGCATTTAAGTAAAACCAAATAGATCCGTCTAAAACAATGATAAATTCTCAGATCATGAATCATGACACATCAGTAAATAACATTTGAAAAATAGATTTTTTTTTCCTCCGCGATGCAAAACTGGGATAAAAAATGGCTCATTTTTTCCTTCGCATAAATAAATGGGAATCAAGGAGTTTTAATCCTTCACTGATAAAAAACGTTACCATCATCACGTTAATAGGTTGTAGATTATTTTATTCAAACACCTTTGCTCTGTTGAACCACAAAATTTCAGAGAGTAGTTCAGAGAAAATCAATTGATATGCTCTGTTGAACCACAAAACTTCATAGAACTGCTACCTAATTGAGCTTCTAGAGTTTTCATTTATCAAACATATCAGAGAACCTGATGATGATGCTATTGGCAGTTATCCAAATATTGCACGCACAAATATATCACTAAACAAATGAAATTCACATGGGAACACTTTTCTGAATATATTGCACAAACAATTCATGACTGAACAAATGAAAATTAAGATGAGAGCATGGTTCTTCATGCGTTGCAAAAAAAAAAAACCTCTGGTATCAGGGCTATTCACTCATGATGCTTGATCCAGCAAAAGCAGCAATCATCACAACAATACATAGAACCAAATTCACTAAGAATACATGATCATTTATGAAAATATGTCCAATTACAGCTATTTCTGAAAATGCAAGCTCTAACAGATAGCACCGGTGGTTTATACAAGTTTTGAGTTGTATAAATTTGAGATTACTGTCGAAATTCAAACATACACAGATCATATCAGCCATGACATCTTAATTTATGAATAACGCTAGCACAAGTGGTTTGGATAATTTCTGAATCATATAAATTTTGAACAGAACACATGAACATTGAGAATTTAGCAGGCTTATTACAAACTACAAAGATATAAAGGGGCAAATTTTTTATTTCATACACTTATCGCTATTGATTTGTAATACTTGGTTACTGCTAAGCAAGGGAATAATATTAAGATGCTCTTAGAACAGCTCTGTTCAACTAGATCGAGACCACAAAAAGCCAAAAGCACAATAGTAACAAGCTCAGCTCAGAACTTCCATCGATCCAATAAAAAAAAAAAGGAACTAACCAGCGCCGCTGAGGGTGCAGCAGCACCAAATCCCACCGTTCTCCAGTCAGGCCTGGCAGGACTAGTCGCTGGCGCCTACAGCAAATGCGATCGACGAGCACTGTCTGTCCACGGGCAGTGGCGGACCTGCAAGCAGCAACCTACTCCCTCCGTCCCAAAAAAAGGCAAATCCTGGGTTTGCGTATCCAACTTTGACTGTCCGTCTTATATAAAATTTTTTTATAATTCGTATTTTTATTGTTGTTAGATGATAAAACATGATTAATACTTTGTGCGTGACTTGTCTTTTTAATTTTTTTCATAATTTTTTCAAATAAGACGGACGGTAAAACATTGGGCACGGAAACCAGGGTTTGTCTTTTTTTGGTACGGAGGGAGTACATCTCTGCCTGGGTCTCTGCTATGCTTCGACAGCCCAATGGTCGTCGATCCACCCCAGATCAGGCGAGTCCCGAGCCTACATTGACTGCATCCAGCAGGGGACGCCGGCGACGGCTAGAGAGGGAGGTCGGAGTCATGGGAGAAGGCAGCACCAGTGAGCACGAAGCCTACCCCGGATCAGCCGTTGCCCAGTCGTAGCCAACGGATCTGGCACCACTCAACTCGCATGCCACGGGAGTTGGGAGCAGGTCCCGGTCGGGTCCGGCACGAGCAGTCTGCGCGCCCCGCCCATCACCTCCAAGACGCTCGCGCCCTACCCAGCGGCGCCGATGGCCTCGGCGAGCGCGGGCGGAATGGCGGCGAATGCGCCCGATTGGAGGAGCACGAAGCCTCTTCCCCCTCGCCTCCCCCATCCTCCACCGTCGCAAGCCGTCGCCGTCGCCGGCCACGCCATTGCCGACTACGCCGCTGGGCTCTCCTCCCGCCGCCACCGGGCCGCCACCGCCGGATCCGGGTGGAGGACGGTCGCCTGCCGCTGCCGCAAGCCGTCGCCGTCGCAGGCCGTCGTCGTCGCCGGCCGCGCCCGCCGCTTCCGCAAAGCGTCGCCATCGCTGGCTACCGGAGGAAGCCCGAGCCAATAGCCGCACGCCGCCCACACGCCTCGCCATCACCGGATTCACCGCCCGAACCTCCTCGTCTCCGAGCCGTGGCTGGATGCGCCTCGCCGCCGCTCCTCCTCATCCCTGAACTGCCGCTGCCGGAGCCGCACGCCGATACGGCCACGACCCGACGACGACCCCCGGTGGGAGTGGGCGGTGATTAGGTCGGCCGCCCGTCGCCTGCACACCGCCACTCCTTGGCCGTAGGCGGCGGTGGGGCAGGGGAGGAGCACCAGATCCGTAAAAAGTGGAGAGAAAGGAGAAAGTGGGTGGACGGTTTCTACTACAAGACAGGGAGTGAGTAATATAGGCAGCAGATAGATTTGATAGTAAACAATTTACTCCGTAAATATGGGAGGGGAGAGCTGGGGTGCACCGGCGGGAGGGGGGGGGGTGCGTGGGGTGGGGGGTAGGATGTGAGGAGGAGCATTTTAGTTATTACGCACCCTGGGTTTAGTATAGTATGTGTGTATATATATATATATATATATATATATATATATATATATATATATATATATATGGAAAAAAGAAAAAAAAGGAAAAGAAAGGAAGGAAGCATACGTACATGTACGTACGAACCTGCCACCTGCCAACGCGCAGGAGGAGGATAGGTGGGACCCATAGTATTTAGTTTGTTTTAAGATCAATTTTATCTAATGGTGTATAATATTGGATCCACCAATTTAAGTGAAAATCAAGGGGTAGATTTTTTGCTTTTTTCTTAGAATTTCTAGGATTTTCTCTATTTTATTAGAGCGCCACTTGGCGGCTTGAGAGCGTTTGTAGGAAGTCTTATGGACAGTATATAATAGAAGATAGATAATAGATAGATAGATAGATAGATACCTGCCAACAAAAACAACTATCCTCTGGCTCAGTGTTTTGTCGGCATGATTTCTCAGTGCCAGTTCGGCAACCTCTAAAGCAGCAGTCAAATTTGCTTCACCACTAACTTTCAGCCCTGCAAAGATAAGTATTTCAGTTATAGGAATATATGTGGCACATGATTTCTTTAAAGCAGCAGTATTATCAACTATCAAGTATCTGATCGATCACAAGAAGACTTAACATTTTGCGGTTCTCATTCCATACATATCCTCTCTTCCTTGTAATATAGATATTTCCTCCGTTTCATATTATAAGACTTTTTATTATTGCCCATATTTATATATATATGTTAATGAGTCTATACATATATGTGTGCCTAGAAAGTCTTATAACCTGAAACGGAGGTAGTAATATTTTAGAATGGTACAAAAAAAATGAAAGCAAATATAGATGACGAGTTTATGACAGTACGAATGTACAATTACTACCACACTGCCTTTAAAAACAAGTGAACCATACATGGGAGACATATATCAGCATCATTTCTTCGTATGGATTTTGCTAAGTCGTACAACAACAGAATGTGGTTACATATTCCATAAGCAACACAGAAACCACAAATCTTCCTACTTAATCCTTGATCATATTTGACTAAGTGATCAGACCCATATATGTTTAGAATTGCATTCCAGTAGTATAAGCTAATTTAATGGTTCCTTGCGCTTAGCACTACCCTACAAAATAAAGAGATCAGTGTGCTTGTCACCATTTGGCAAATAACGTGATGGATTGATCAGTGAACTACTATTGTGCAGTAACTAACATCATTTCTAACTGAACTGATAATCCTGGACAAGACAGAACCATATATTCAGAATTGAATTCCAGGAGGATAAGCAAAGTTGATGGTTCCTTGGCAACTTAGCGTTCATTTAACACTACATTTTTTTGCAAACAACATCATGGATTGATCAATAAACCATATGCACGACTGCACGCTAACCAACCAACCATCATTTATCAAAGTTACCAAACCAAACCAAAGTGATCATGGATTGATCAAGGAACTATCCCACATTCTGGAATAGTGGGAGGAACAGGCGAAATCACACAATTATGGATGTGTTTGGATGGAGGGATATGGGTGGATAGGACATGGCGGCCCATTTTTTGTGGGTGTTTGGTTCCTGGTCGGAGGTGGGATAGGGCGGCCCGGAGGGGAATATTCCCCCCAGATGCTGGATGGGGGGATCCGGCCGATTCGGCCGGATGCAGCCGCCCGAGCGCCCGGGCGAGCGGGGGCGAGCGATAGTGGGTCGCGTCACCCCTCTCACCACAGTGCGAGCTTGGCGGCGGCTAGGGTGAGTGACGACGTGAGCTCGGCGGCAGCCAGGCCAGGCGACGAGAGAGGAGGCGACGACGGTGGGCAGCGAGCTCGGCGGCCGGCGTGGGCGACGAGCGCGGCGGCAGTGGGACGCGAGCTCGGCGGCCGGTGAGAGAGGAGACGGGAAGAGGATGCGCCGACGGCAACTGGATCTGGGGGCGGCGTGCCGCGCCGGCGAGAGAGGACGCACGGCGGCGGTCGGGGAGAGAGGAGACGGGGTGGCGGTGGGTGAGAGAAGAGGCGCAGCGGTGGCCGGTGAGAGAGGAGGCGCAGCGGTGGCCGGTGAGAGAGGAGGCGCTGACGACGGCCGGATCTGGAGCGGCGGCGGCCGGAGGAGGCGCGGCGGCGGCCGGCGAGGGCGAGAGATGAGGCGAAGGGCGGCCGACGAGGACGAGAGAGGAGGCGAGGGGCGGCCGGCGATTTCGAGAGAGGAAGATTTTTTTTTCTTTTTTCTTTTTTTCTCCTTCCCCTTTTATTTCGTTCTGTTTTTTATTTCTATTTATTTTTTTAGTAGGTTGAAATAGGGGTAAACTCACCACTTCTAATGGAAGAGTGATTGTACCCACTCATCCATCCCACTCCTCCAACCAAACAAAAAAATGGATCACCATATCCACTTTCATCCCTACAACCAAACAAAAAACTGGATCACCATATTCACTCCACCAAACAAAAAACTGGATCGCCATATCCAGGAAAATATGGACCGCCATATCCCATCCAACCTTGACCGGGAACCAAACACACCCTATATGGAGATTGGGGGCCAGTCACGCACCGCGCATGCAGGCGAGGAACTTGACGGGGTCGCTGGTGAGCGCGAGGAGCACGCGCACTCTGTCCCCAGCCATGGCCGGCACCCGGCCGTGTTCGCCTGATTCGACTGCAACGAACACGACGCCCCCAAAAACTCCCGGAGTCAAAAAAAAAAACCCCAAAAATTGTGTGAACACGAGGTTGCAGTCGAACCGCCATTTTCGTGGCGAACACGAGGTTGGCGGCGTCGGCCTGCGCCTGGAGCCGCGTCGGCGGGTAGTCCTCCTTCAGCATCCACACCGAGTCGTCGACGCATATCATAGTTGCCTGCATGCTCCTCTGCGAATGCATTGGGTTCCAGCCAACAATAAAAACCTTCAGAAATTAATCACCGTAGCGAACTCGCGGGTAGCCGCGGAGCGAGCGCCGAATGGGGGAAGCGAGAGGAGGGAGGAAATGGGGGAGAGGAGGGGGTGGGGTGGACCTGGAGCTCGAGCACCATGGCCGGCGGCGGGGAGCGGGAGCGGAGGAGCGAGGTGGAGGAGGGGTGCGGCGCGTGGTGTTCCACCGGGTTGCTTTGCTTGCAGAGGAAGGAGGAAGAGGAGGGGTGGGATTTTGGTGCGGGCGATTCGAACGACGAAACGTTCCAGAAGGTTTTGGAGTTTGCAAGCAGAGGTTTTGCCTTCCCCTGTTCCCCACCCAAAGCCGTTAACCGCAGCGAGCTATTATCAACTATAACTCCGATGAAATTTGGATTGAGAGAATGAAGGGACAGCTTATGCATCACTCGGGTGATTAATCACCCAGATTTTTTCCTCCCTTGGATTTGCATCCAACGGACTACAAAATAAAATAACTAATACAAATTTACTTACACAACATTTTTATCAAAATTACAGTGCACTTACATGTCATATCAACTAAATTTACAATGTAATTTTAGTTATATAGGACTGTAATTTTATATTTGAAATAAAATAACTAATGCAAATTTACTTACACAATATTTTCATCAAAATTACAGTGCACTTACATGTCATCAAAATTACAGTGCACTTACATGTCATATCAACTAAATTTACATATGTAATTTTAGTTATATAAGACTGTAATTTTATATTTTAAAGAAAATAATAAGTACATATTTACTTACACATTATTTTTATCAAAATTAAAGTGCACTTACATGTCAAATCAACTAAATTTACAAATGTAATTTTAGTTATATAGGATTGTAATTTTATATTTTAAAGAAAATAATAAGTACATATTTACTTACACATTATTTTTATCAAAATTACAGTGCACTTACATGTCAAATCAACTGAATTTACAAATGTAGATTTAGTTAAATAGGATTATAATTAATATCAACTGAATTTACATATGTAATTTTAGTTAAATAGGACTGTAATTTTATATTTTATTTTAGTTATATAGGATATTTACACGTAGCTAGGATGTAAATTTCTTGTGAATCGTGATCAGCGGCAAACGTGGGACCCACGAGGTCTCCTCTCCACCTCACGACAACATTGACGCAGAATCGTGTACTGATCTCGGCGCATAATTGTAGGGGCAAAAATCTGTCAAATATCAACGAAAAATCACCCGTGTGATGTTTAGCAAAATCGGAGAATGAATATATCTTTTTTTTGACAAATTGATCCTTTCTAAAAACTTATTTTGAAATTACACCATGCAAAAAAAAATCAACCAAAAATGATCCACGACCTCAGCCCCACCACCTTGTTGTGGAGGTTGTACGCGTCAACACCGGGTCCGTTGGCGCTGACTCCCGTGTTCACATGGAACCCGAGCCAATCACCTCACTTACATGGCAGGGGCTCTTCACCAACCATATTGCCGCTGAAAGGAAAGACTTAAGCACCAATGTAGATGGGGCCAGAAGGAAAGACCTCCTTCGGGACATTGCCGCGCGAGGTCATCTCGTCCAACACAGCTCCTGTGTTGTGCAGCCATGAGGCGCTAAGCCGCCAACCTCGGCGTCGGACTAAAAGGCCTCAGCACCATCTACCTTTGCGGTTTGGAACATAGTCATGCGAGGCTGTAGAGCGCTGAGGTGTTCAAACTCAGCGCCAATGCACGTGGCGCCAAGGTTTTCAAGCTCAGTGCCGATGCACCTGCTCTGAGCTAGGCTTGCAGTTGGCTGCCTAGAGGCCATACCTTAGCGCTAAGCTATATGGAGCTAAGTTTGGACTCTTCAGCGCCATCTTCCTTAGCTATGAAGTATGGCCCCAAGCAGGAACTAACAACCAGCTCTATATCCAGTCATCACCACCTGCAAATACACCCCTAGCACACATCCATCCATCCGAAATCAATTCACATCCATCCATCCAAAATC